AATTTTTCTGGCTGAGCCTAACTCACACATTCTCGTTGTAGGGGACTTCAACTTGCACGCACTAGATGTTCCGGCCTCACTTAGTGAGCAGTTTAAGGCGGAACTTCAAGAGTTAGTCGCCAGTCTACCACACCATAAACAAGTTATTTCTCATACGAGATTCAGAATGGGGGACAAAGCAGCCATTTTGGACTTCGTCTTCACCAATGACGAACTTATCTTTGACACACTGACAGTATGTAGCCCCCCAGAAGTTCAGTGATCATGCAACGCTGCTTGCTTTTCCGCTACGTCTGTTACGCTGAACAGTCTGACGGAGAACTAGAAGAGGTCCGCATAATAAGACAGCACAACATTTGACCCGACTTCATTAAGATCACAGCTTGGTCGTTTCTAGTGGAACAACCTCATGCTGTCGCTTGGGGAAAGTTTGTCGATGAATTCAACACTTAGGTAACAAACGCAACAGTGAGTACGATTTTTTGCTAAAAACGGTAAAGATGTTCCTGAGAACACGTAAAACGAAAGTAAAACAGAATACTTAGAACGTCCCCAGAGCGTCGACCAATCACATAGGTCCAGTGTGCCGATCAATAATCCAAACTGCTAATTGCAACCACGTGATTTCCGTTCCTTTAAAAATACCACCTCGGGTGGATACAGTACCGGAACAATAACGTTGTAATCGGGGAAACAAATCTTCAATGCCGAAAGGAAAAACGAGGATCTGCAGCTCACATCATATCCTATCTGACATGTATGCTTTTAAACATCACGTTTTCATTGTCATCAAAAGTTTGTTGCTGTTTTCTCAGACAATTGTAGACCAGTGTATGCCGCATGAATGAGATGACAGCGATGTTCTTTGGACAGTCGCAATCTGATGGGTTTATGTTTTAAACAGCCATAGCTCATCCACAATACGTCATCTGACGATATAACTCATAGGAAGACAGTCAGTCAAGCTTAAAGACTGGCCTTTGAGAGAAGAGGTAAACAGCTCGCTCATAGTTCTTACTACCAAATGCTAGAAGAGTATATATTGCGAAGCCTAAAGATGATGCTTGTCAACTGTTATATCCTGTTGCCATTTCTGCTGAGGAAAATGCATGAAGCCCGAAAAACCTGCAGTCGCGTGCATTGTGTATAGCTGCGGGGCCAGCGGAGAACAGATGATATTCTCATTCTAGTCTTCCGACAGTAAATTGATAACTCTGGCGACAAGCGCCATTTCGGCCTACTACGGCCACAAATCATTTTATGGGAAGGTGAGAGTAACATTTAGCAGAAACAAATGCAGGTTGCACAACCCACAAAGAAGTGTGGGGTTCTAACGTAAATAACAGTCGCATAACACTTGACGCGTACATCGAGTTGGGCTTTCCAGTCAATCTAGTTTACTTTAGGCAGCAAACTCTGTCAAAATGGAGATTCCTGCAAATCCGACTTCTCGATCGAACTAGTTGGGCAGTCTTTGGTGCAATTGTTTCACGTCAACTTTGTGTGTGTGTGTGTGTGTGTGTGTGTGTGTTGTTCTTGACAGCAACCGAGTGCATCACAATATAGTGTTCGATTAACGCAATGAGAGTGAGTGCAGCAAACTTAGACCCGCAGTGCAGTTGCTGTACTGGATCCACCTCGAGACGTCCGCACATATCACCTGTGCGCAGGTCACTGCACAGAACAGTGCACACTTCAGTGGATGTGAACAAAACACGCTGAAGCGAAATGCGGGTTCGTTGCATCATCATTCAGTCAATGTATTTAGACGAAGTGCCCAGATGACCAAACTTAAGGGCGCTGTTCACAAAATGGTGGAACTTAAACAAGAATATCGACCTTGATTTACGGATTGAACCCAAACTATAGGATGAGCAATCTCGAGCAGAGTTTGTGGAAAAATCCCAATTTCATCGTCATACATTGGAGCAGTTTATTAATATCTCTTTAGTTGTTTACTAGCGTCTTCTATGACTTAAGTGATGGTCTCAGAAAATGCAAGCATGCCCGGGAACGCTAGTCATCCGCGAGGTTACCACGAAAATGAATGAAACAGACATCGTCTCACACGCCTTACCTCTGGTGTTCCCCCTCATGCTGGACCTCAATTTAGGCTGGATTCATCTTCGGGCTTCACAGCCATTGGCAACGCAGTCAATGAAGGGTGTTGCCACTCCGCGAATTTGTGCAACTTGACCGGTTTCACCATTCTCAGGACAGCTCCGGTACGAACCTAAGACTAGGGCCTGCTACCCAACTGCAACGACCTCCAATACTTGATAACCTTGGAGAAGCAATGAGGATGCGCGGTGAGCTGTAGGCTGGAGCGCTCTCTGTGAGCTTGAAACGTAATTTATGATGGCACACTGGGCAGTAGATTACTTCACATAACGATTAGGCAGGCTCAGCTGGGCACGTTAGCTACTGTGTTTGGGGTCACCAGAAAGATACTTTACCATCCCCGTCAATCCTATGAGATGTCAGTTGTTTTTGGGATGACTGTCGTGATAATCCCCGAGGCGGTAGCATCGGCAGTCGTGCAGGTCTGGACCATACATTCATGCCTATGTCCAAACTGCGGGAGTTCAAATAACTCATTATTACCGCATACACGCAGGGCCGATGGTGCGGCAGGAGTGTTCGCAGTTGGGCTGCAGTCGCAACACTGAGCGGGTGCGATCGCATATTTACAGCGTGTTCCCGCGTGCTAGGTCAGGGCTTACTGTACTCGATACGAATGTCGATAAACTGCATTATCTCCCATAGGATCAGGGTAGGTGTCTTTTGGATTATTCAACGGACGGTACCAACGATTGCCAGGGCGAGTCATGATGATACACCTGATGTTGTATAATCAAAACCATGTGTGCCGCTCTTCTATGGAGCTCAGCAGTAACACCAAGCTCACAAGCTAATCAATACAACCACGCAATACGAATTGCCTTAGACTCACTAGGAATGATACAAGTGATTTACTCGAAAAGAATTGAATTGTAGAGAGGGCTGGACGCCTTGAGTGCTCCTTTTATAGGTAACTAACATCGACCATAAAGATGAGCTGATACGGTAATGACATACTTAAGTCATATTGTTGTGGTACATGGGCAGCTGGGGTCTGGGAGTGCAGATGCAACGTTTCGAGTAGCTACTCCTGTGGGAAGTGTAGGTCGCCAGGAGACAGTGCCCTGGATGGCTGTATTATTTCAATTGAACGTTTGCGTATATCTCTACCTATGCTTATTGGTAACCTCATGATCTTGCGAATGCCGTTAAATGCTCAAGCACCCTACAAACTCGTTTGGGACCCGGACTGGGTAAATTCAGCATTTAGCTGCCTACTCTGATCCCGCTGTAAACAATGATCAGACCATTCAGTTGGAGTTTGCCTAGCATTGTCGGGGAATATACCGTTTATTTATTAAACCTGAAAGGTAATAATCCGAAAGTGAGGTAGCAGTAAAGTCATTTGGAATGTCATAAAATTCTCTGTTCACTTTCTGCATGCAATACCTGCAACGCACTCAGCGAAACAGACATTTGCGTGTCAGCACTAGCCACATTTGAAAGACGGCCACCAGATGCATTTAGCCACGCAGAATTATTCCTTCGTTCGGGTTCTAATACACACGTTATGGGTTTTACTGCTGCCAACTGTGGTGCTGTAAAATAAATTGGAGAGCTGAACCATAGTTCTACATGCAGGTAAAATTAGTGACTTGTGTCTTACCAAACATTTCATCATCTGTTTCTCATTTTCACTCAAATGGAAATCCTACCTTCTCACCAGAAGGGATTTTTGCGTCATACTATTCTACACCCGTAATAAATCGTTGTTTGATGTTCTTATTATGGTGTCTACCAGTCCGACAACTTCGACTAAATCACTGGATCCAAGAGACCGCTGCTCGTTGCCAGTGATCTCCGGGACAACTGCATGCTGCAGAAGCTGGCTCTTCGTGTTATGGGCTACAGCTAAACCACTGCTTCGTGTTCTTCTGACACGTGTGTCTCCGTGCTGAAGAAGCGACGACCGAGTCCGAACAAATCCTGATTCTTCATCCCCGCATGCCTCCCTGTCTTATCGCATCGAACACACGCAAGACATGAGTTACATGGTGGAGCTGTGGGTGATACACTGTAAGTCATCAATGATAAATCTGTAGACACAAGCGCATTGCGGCTGCTCGTAATTAGGCTGATATGTTGAACTAGCGATAGATGTAACGAATCACGTTCAAGACGGTGACACGAAGTATACCAAGTTGCATCGATGTGCTCCAGTACACAAATGATCGAGGAAGTGTCCGCAGCAGACTTTCTTTTAGACCTGATTGAAAACTTTACCTCATGAGTTATCCGAAGTATAGCAAATCACCCCAGCTGCAAAATTAGCTACCTAGTTCGAAGTTGGGTATGGAGTACTCTCAGTTAAGGTTCTTACCGCCTAAGAAGCTCAAACGAAGGCACAACCTGTTGCGAGGAGCAACATCGAAACCTTTCCACTAGCGCAATGGTTCGTCACTTCCAGCGCTGAACGGTTTCAGTTCATAGGTCCAAAAGGATCGCACATATTAACGTGTCGTAAACGTACAGAAGCAGTTTGAACAAGGAACCATGTCCTGAGATTATAGGATGTACGCTTACAGACCGGCCTACATTCGATCAATTACCAATTTATCAAACTGGCCTACAGCAATTTATTTGCGCAGTACAATTCATATAAGTAGTTTCCTCAGCGCAGTCAACTTGAGCACAAAAAACAATCCCTGAAGGGAGCAACGGTGGATCACAAGTGTTTCTTATGTGGATTAGAACGTCGGACGAACACCGCCTAATCCTGAGTAACCGAACCTTCTTTGATGGTCTATAGACAGATCGAAGCTTGGAGACTTCAACGATGTATTACACGCATGCGTCTAATTTGCAGTACTGCATGGCTGCGGCTCGAAACAAGTTTATTCAAGTCGTTTGTTTATCAGTGTAGTAAAATATCCTTTGTAGCGATATATTTAACACGGTTGACATGAGATTCCCGCTAAACGGGCAATTCACTCGAGGCTGTGCTTACCTCATCCCCGCCTGGAAAGTCCATCGATGTTTCCATTTGTAGCGGTCTAAATGTCAGATCGTATACAATCCTTGCTTGCATTATGCTCAATGATTGTCCAGGACCCGTCGACCGAAGCATGGCAGCATGTACCGGATGGGTGGAGTTCAAAGGAACAAGGATTTCACGGCTGGTACTCACAGCGGAGACCGATCTGGTTGTGCACTTAAGCGGGGGGAACGCAAGTTTAAACGACTTTTCTGATACAAATTGATCTTTGCGCTGTCTGACGGGCCACGTCCATCTTGCGGTGCTGGTGAAAATGTTCAGTTTCTTAGACTCAGGAGCTTCATCAGTATTCCTCCACCTTCGATCTAATTCATCGGCTTGGACATGCAAATTTAATAGGTCCCTTTTCAGTGATTCCGTTGATGTGACGTCCAATCGATAGGTACCCTTTGAATTACCTGACTCGGCCAGATGAATGAAGTCTGGCACAGATGTTAGACCTTTCTCCTCTGGGCTACGTCTCGGGCTTTGTTGAACAGTGCCTGGTGCCATGGGCTCAAGAGAGTCGGACAGCTGTTGAGTTTCAGCTTCCGGTGATTGATCCATGCACAGCGTGCTCCAGTAAGGCACCTTATCGGGCATGGTATCCTGAGTTAACGGAGGAATTGTTCGTAGTGATACAGATCTTTGCAATTCCTCAGCTTGTTCATGACTGATTGGTCCACCATTTTGTGACTGCCCCGAAGAACCAGTATACGAGGAGTTTTGCGAACAGTTAAGCATGGACTTGGAACGCTTCGGACACTGGGAGAGGCAGGGGTTGGATTTATATCTTGTCGTCCCAGACGCTGGAATACTCAGGTAATACGACCTTCTGTACAACGACCGGGCATGTCGAATTCGGTCCAACCGGGTGGATTCAGAAGTATAATCGACTTCTCTACACGATCGAGGGCCAGGTGGATAAAAGGGTGGACGTTCACGGGCTGGTGCGCGGTCCGACACATTACGCTGTTGAGCCGGTGGTCTCTTGTTGACGCGATGCACATGCGCTGATTCATGGGCTGGCGTACCGAAAGCCGATAAACTTCCGTGTTGACTCGTGTCGCCATTCGTCTGTGTACCTTCATCTTTAATATCCATTGTTTTATCCAAACTGTGTGAGCTGGTGACTGTCTGCATGGAAACATCAGTAGTTCGCAATTCATTGTTCAGTCTTGCTGCTTTCACAGAGCCAAGATGTAATTCCTCGTTTGGTTGTTGTGCGGTAGTATTCGCACATAATTTCCCTTGTGATATCATAGTCAAATGGAACTCGCTTTCTTGGCCTTCTTACTTTGTTGAACTCGCACCCAGGAGAATGCTTTGACGGTAGCGAAACCTGACGTGCTCGTCTACTTATAACCAGTGGTTGTTTGGGAAACTTCGTCAACCACTGAGACTGCGTGGGCGTAGTCACAGTATCGATTGCCCCCATAAGGATTTATTAACGTCTAGCGTTCATTGCATGGCAGTGGCCAATGAGGTTTACCGTGTTTGTTCAACTCACTGTAATCAATCAGGAATATTGAATGATAGCATCCGCGTTGTGTGCGCCAAGAGCAAATGCCCTTTCCTAGGGTCAACTGCTCGCAATTTCGTGTGTTACAAGACCAACTACTGTTGAGAAAATAGGTGTAGTGCGATTTTTCACCGACTAAACTAAAGCATGTCCGTAAAGTTAGCAAGTAATAGTTTTATTGCCACATTAGATGAGTCACTCACGGAGTCCAGCTCAATTCACCCAGGAGGGAGACTGATTGGGGTTTATTTTCCACCTGAGACAGAGCAGCATGTAAACATATTCTCAATTCAAAGTGTGAAGAGGATTTGTTTTTGTTGGTTTGGGTTTACATATCACGAGCAAAATGTCATTTACAGACATTTTATGAGGACTGTGAATTCCCACATACTTCCGAAATATCAACTGGATGAATATTGGCACTTCGTAGATTTCCACTCGGGTAGATACACGTATTAATTGGCTACCAGCATGGAAGTTTACAATATTGGGAGCGACGAGCACTGAGGATAATTGGTGAGGCAAATACGCTCCAATTTCTTTGGAAGCATGTCTTTCGGGCAGATGCGTTCAGCTCCGCTCACTATGGTATATATCAAGTTCTGTCTAAACCTAAATGACAACGCTGTAGAAGTTTGTGTACTGTCCATTCCATACACCTTTCCTATACACGCAACCCTGCAACGCATAGCCCTCCGTTTCTGACAGCCATAGGGGAGAAAGACAGAACAACACAGACTGAAACCCAACGTTGCAACGGTCGTTAAAATCTTCGAAAGTATGGCCATGTCAAGAAAACCACTTGTGAACAGTTTTGATCTGCAGGAACGGTTATTCCAAGACTGTATGGATTACCAAAATTTCACAAGCTTAACGTTCCCCTTCGACCCGTCTTAAAGATGAAAAGCTTCTCATACCGCTCGATTGCTCGGTGGCTGGTTGCGATTCTTACGCCTCTTCGAAGCGAATTGCCGCGTATAGTGTGTGGGAGAGTTTTGAATGTGTGAATATCGTGCGTTATGTAAAGTTTACGAATCTAACCACGTGTTCCCTCGACGATACTTCATTCTTCACCAACGTACCATTAGTTAAGACTATAAACTACATCTGTGAGTATGATGATGTAAACCACATTAATGTTGGCATACCAACGGTGACCCTAAAGGAACTATTGCTCAGATGCGCGTGAAATGTTCAGTTCCTATTCAGTGGCGAAATATACGGGTAGTACGCTAGGGTCGAGATGGATTCCCCACTGGGTCCGTTCCTCGCCGATGTCTTCATGGGTATGCTGGAACATGGAACGTTCAAACCGACGATCTCGGGTCTCAGTTTATATCGCCTTTATGTAGACGATATTTTTCAGCTAATTCATCATCGCCACTCCCAATCAGCAGGCTTAGGCTAGTCTGGAAAAGCACAAGACGCCGGCGTTTCGACCTTATGGGTCTCGTCAGTGGTGGGCCTACCAGCGGAACCCTGCCTGCTTCAATCTTCAATCTTCTCTAAGTATCGAGGAACTATCAAACACATTCAACCACTCCCATCCAGCAATACCCTACACCTGCGAAATTGAGGAAAACCGTCGTTTTCAGTTCCTCGATGTCGCTTTGAAAAGACTTGCAGGGGGTACGCTGCAGCGTTGAGTGCATAGGAAAGGTACGTGGACTGGGCAGTACACAAACTTCTACAGATTTATGGTCCTGAGGTTTAAGTAGAACTTGATACATACCATAGTGTGCCTAGTTGAACATATCTGCTCGAAAGACATGCGTCTAAAGGAATTGGAGTGCATTCGCTTAGTGCTAAGGGGAAATCGCTATCCGGAGAGCTTCAACAGAACCAACATGGAACATAAGAGGAAGCAGCCTGTTGTTTTGACAGTAAAACGTAAACCAGTCTTCCTACAGCTGTCATACAAGGGTGAGGTTGCGACGGAAATTCCATCTCGCCGTCTTTCCTTTGCACTCAGGCGCACCTATCCAGCAGCACAGGGGCAAATCCAGTTCAACAGCACTCTGATGGTGAGACTAAACTCAAAGTACAAAAGGCCTGTCCACAGCAACTCAGTGTGTATTTACTCATTTTCATGCTCCTATGGAGCGGAATACATTGGTCGTACGGCAATGTGCCTATCTGAAAGGGTAAAGGATAACCAAGCCGTCGGGCTTAGAACTGAAAACAGAAAAACAGTCCACTCTACCTTTTGAAACAATTAGATCTCTTTAGTAATTTGAATAAAGTCGTAAGAAGACGAACAATGGCAGATGTCAAAATTTCGTATTGTCTCTTCAATGCCAACACAATAACCTGAAAATATATGAGACGACAGGTACGGTGAAACCGGAACAAGTTAGAACAGGGTAGAGGGGCAGGTGTGACACCCTTACGCCCAGAGCAACCGTAGGCTTACGAACAGCTGTTTCTGCACACAGAGTGCGGGTTTGATATGGCTGATCGCGACTGCGTCTGCAAAACGTTGGAAACGGGCGTTAGTATGTCTTAACAATTGCCGCGCATCAAGCCGACACAGGACACGCCACAAAGTCAGATGATTCTCTCAAAATTATTTATCAGGCTCCGACGAACCGATCGAACTATGTCCGCAAGCGACTACTAGAAGTTGCTGTGACAATTGCGATCCGGCTGTATGAATCGGAGCCATGTGTTCAGCAATAGCTAGCTGAAAGATTGAGACTATCATTGTCCAAACGGCCGGTGTCCTCTGCCCGGAGAAGTTACACGCGGTCGCATGTGGTGACTTAAACAGACAGCACTGTCAGCACCCAATTAACTCGCTCTAGTAGTAACGACTTGTAACGTCTGTCTGCACATTTTGAGTTGCATATATGTGGATAAGTCTGAAGATGAATTGTTGAAAACATGTTCTTTTAGCTTGCTTTCTTCTTGTGTGCCCTCACCAAGGGAATGTCAGTTCAAACGATTACACTATGTAACGTCAATTTTAATACAGAAATGAGACAGGATGTTTCAAGTGAAACCAAGTGAGCTGATTACGAGTATACAAAACAAATGTTTCTATCATGTCGGGTTTTTCATGTTAATTTTCTCTTTCAGCTAAGCAGTGCGTTACATGCATTGAATGCTTGCCTTGATTGGTCCATTGGCTTGCTGCAATCGTGGAAGAGAAGTCCCTTGGCCATTTTATCTAGCTGATACTGAAAGTCGATTGAGAGCTGTATTTCCTCAATTGATATCGTGATCATGGCAGAAGGATGCTGCTATCTCGATGACTGCAATCATTTTTGTTACTACTGTAGACAGTTCACTACAAAGTCGCGATGCAGCCCCATTTCTTCACTACTGAAGTCCGCCTATCATGCATATGTTGAGATGAAACTTGGAGCTCAGGAAAAGAAGTGGGCGCCGCGTATTGCTTGTGTCGTGCAATCTTCATCTGACTCAGTAGCTCACGGGCAAAGGCAAGATGCCCTTTGCAATCCCCATCGTGTGGTGGGAGCTAAAGTATCAGACGACAGAGTGCTACTTCTGTCCAACCAGTGTCATTGGAAACTCCAACCGAAACAAGAACAAAATTCATTACCCCGATCTTCCATCAGCTATTCGACTTGTTCTTGTGATTGCGCCTTACCCATTCCAATGCCTTCAGTGAACATGTCACTGATGATGAGTAGTGATAGCGCATTGTCAACTTCTCGTCATTCGGACATATGTGAACATTGTGAAGCTAATGTTGTCAACCCACATCTTATTGAACAAGCAGAGCTGAATGACTTGGTACGTAATCTGGACTTACCTAAAGACAAGGCCGAGTTGCAGGCATCTCGGCTGCAGCAGTGGCATTTACTTGCTGCGGACACTAAGGTTACTGTATACAGAAAGCGGTGTTAATTAGTCCGGATTCTATGACACGAGAGAAACTTTTTGTTACTGTTCCGACGTGGAAGGACTGATGAAGGAGCTTGGCGTGAGGCATATCAGTGATGAATGGCGTTTGTTCATTGGCTCGTTCAAAAGTAGTCTTAAGACCATCCTGTTCCACAAAGAAAATGTGTATCCAACTGTGTCTCAATTGTATGTCACCAAGATGAAGGAGATTTACGAAAGTATGCAACAGATACTCTCAGCACTGAACTAGGATAAGTACTGTTGGAATATCTGTGCTGATTTCAAAGTTATTGGATTCCTAATACGTATGCAAGGAGGCCTCACCAAATATGGCTGTTTTTATTTTGTTTATGGGACAGTAGAGCAACTGAGCAGCATTACGCAACCAAAAAGTGGCCAGAGAGAAAAGAGTATGTTGCAGGAAAAACGAGTGTAAAGCATACACCACATGTGCAACCTGTTGATATCTATTTACCCCCTGGGTACATCAAGCTTGGTTTGATTAAAAACTTCATCAAAGCCCTCGAGCGAGATGGTTTTGCGTTCCATTATCTGAAACAAGTGTGTCCGAGGATCAGCGATGCGAAGCTCAAAGAAAGGATTAAGTAGTGCGCCTGATATTCGTCGGGTAATGACAGACAGCGCTTTCGAATGTCAGTTGAGTTCATTTGAGTTAAAATCGTAGCGACCATTGCATGCGGTGTGTACAGGATTTCTGGGCAGGAACAAAACAGAGAACTACAATGAGGTCCCAAAAAGCTCGTAGCGGGCTATTGGGTAGTTAGTGCTGGAGTGTCACTCAAGATGCACTTTTTACATAACGACCTTGAAGTTTCCCTGAGAATTTGGGATCTGTTAGCGCTGAGCATGGGGAGCACTTTCACCATAACATTTCAGTCCTCGAGCAGCGCTACATTGGAAAACACATGTCTTCTATGATGCGTGACTTTTGCTAG